TATTTTCATAAGAGGGACTCTTTATTCAACAGATATTGAGTTCACCAATTCAACTTTGAAATACGGATGTCACATTAATTTAGCAACAAATTCATCAATGTTCTTATCAGAACTCCCACCTTCATCAATTGCCTCTGTAGCCAGTTTCTTCCACTTGTTTGCATTCTTCCTCACCCCTTCCCCCTTCTCTCCCACCATCACTTCCTTTATGCACCCCTCCAAAACCTCCCTTTTCACAATCCCTTCCTTCTCACGCTGGGCCCTAATCCCAATACCCCATACATCTTCCACAAACTTAGCATTGGTGGGTTGGTCTGTCCATTGTGGCACTGCTACCATTGGAACTCCCAGACTCAAAGCCTCAAGTACAGAATTAAACCCGCAATGAGTAACAAAACATCCTGTCGACTTATGTGACAGAACCTCGAGCTGCGGGCACCATGTCACCACCAAACCCTTCTCCGACGTCTCCTCCAAGAACCCAGCGGGCAACTTGGCCTGCTCTGTGGCTCGAACAACCCACAGAAAGTGGTAACCGCTTCCTTTCAAGGCCCAAGCAACCTCTTCCATTTGATCCACTCCTAGTTTGGCCGCGCTGCCAAAGGAAACATAGACAACGGAACCATTGTGTTTGTCGTTTAGCCAACTCATACATATGGTCGTGCTTGGCTTGAACAAATTGATGCCGTAGTCCTTGTCATCTTCCAGTCTTCGGTCCAAGTATGAAGACGGAACCGTGGGCCCTACGGTTCCAAAATTCCAACGTTTCGACAGCCAGTCCGCCGCCTAGTCATTAGAACATCATCCTATTATAATTGTACGAAAGCATGATCCACGTTGATGTAAAGATTCCTAGGATTTACAGCAGGTACTTTGTGTGTTTAATTTGGTTATAATTTTATTTTTTTTGATGGAATAATGTCGTTATAATTAAAGAAATAAAAATGTATATTACTTATATAATATTACATATATTGCTAATTTATACTAATTATTATGTATTATTATATGATTACAGAAAATAATT